TTGTGCTTTAAATCAAATCCCAGCCTTTCTGGGTTCTGATGGAGCAGAAGAGTTCTGTCTCTTCTGGAAATGGCCTCCTTTAGAACCCCATTCATGAGGCAGCTTGTGGCTCCATCTCTCGGGTTCTCTGACCTAGCTTTGCTATGAACTTGCTTCTTCATGGAGTGAGCGATTAAGTCAGGTCCTCTGAGGAATTACTGCTTTGCAGAGCCAAGGGCTGGGAACCCTCAGCCGTGTCTTCCCTGCTCTTCATGGAGTCATCGCACTTCCGAGACATCGCTGATGTATTTCAGGGGCGCTTTCAGCGGGGGAGCATGGGCACTGCCTACGAAATGCATCCATCTGAGTCCTCAGAGAGGAGGCTTCATGTGTTATTAGATGCTCTCAGCTTTGAAGTGGTATGAATTTTTATCCAGGACATTATATGAAGGGCCTGAAGTGGTGTGCTGTAAACAGTGTCATTTTATAGTGGGTCAGAATTTAAACACATGAGATATGATCCGTCTAATTACTTTTATGAAACATGACATGAATTTTTAATCAAAAAGTACAGAGTTTTAAGCAAAATCTTTGCAACTTTTGGACTTTCAGAAGGGCTATGGTTTTGTCATCAGAGCTTCTCTCTCTTCTGGCCTTAGTTCTTCTCCAGCCTGCACTGGGTAGAGTGCAGCGTGTTTCCCATGCCTGCTGCCTTTGATTATTTTTGAGAATTTGTCTTCCAGCTTCATGGGAAGCCATTGAGCTGAAGAGATGTAGGCAAATGAACTACTGAATACATTTTCTTTATTTTAGCATTTTTCAGGGCCACTTCAGCAACTTTAAAATGGAAAGTAGTTTAACGACTGTTAACATTTTTTTCCACTTCCTTCTCCTTTCATGGCTGAGCATTCATTTTACATTTATGACTTGGTCTTTCATATCCCCAGTGAGTGTCCATTGGATTGCAGACATTTTCTTCACAGCCAATAGCCCTTCCCACTCAGACCAGCAGTGGTTCATGTTAGGCAGTGAAGTCTATTGTCTTACTTCCTATTGTTTGTGATGGTGCTCTAACCTGAGCTCTCCCCCTGCATCTACATAGAATGGGTGCCCCCCCAAGCTAGTTATGTCACCCCCACTTTATTATTGTCAGTACACAGCATGCCAAACTGCATCTTGTATTAGGAGCTTTGGATCTTCTAGGCCCTGTGTAGAGTAAGCACTGCCCATTATTTATTCACTTGCATTTTCACAACAAATGAAGAATCAGTCTGTCTCCATTTTAGGCTTAAAAGCCATCTTATAGTAAAGACAAACTGGGTTCATTCCTGTTTATGATTAAACCTGTTTCTCAAGGATTGGGCTACACCCCACCTGTAACCTTAACTACAAATGGTTCTACACTGCCTGTTCTAGGAATGGCAATCATGTCTTCGTTTCAAAGAGTTGTTTTTTAACTACCTTGTAACCCTACCTTTGTTTCAAAAGGGGTGTTATGTCTACCTTGTTATGCCCACCTTGCAGCCATGTTTCCTTGTTTCAGGAAGTCATTATTGTTATGATGTTCTGCTCTTGTAACCCTGCATGGTCCCAGGTGGCAGTGTAGGCCTTTCAGATTGGCATAGCCCCTGTGGGGGCATATTCTTCAGACATCAACATGGTCTCAGGTGACGGCCCAGACTTTGGGTGTTTGCAGGGCCCTTGAAGGTAATAGGAACCACAGACATCAACATGGACCCTCACTGCTGCATCATGGCTATGCCCACAATATAGTTCTCAGCAGCAGCTGTGCCTGGGCATCATCATGGACCTGGGTACCAAGCAGGCCATCCATGCAAGCCCATTCCTCACCCCCTAAGGTCTGCCTCTGTCTGCTACACAGGAACTGTTATGCCTCCTCTCTCCCGAAACCGTGTGCTTGCTCACTCTAATGATGTGCGTAGGGCAGCCGCTGATTGACTTCTGCCACACAAGCCAAAAGGCATGGCATGGGGCTGTGGCTGTCCTCCTTAAGTGCTCCCAGGCCTCATTTTTCTTGCTGCTCTTTGTTGAGCTCATTTGTTGGACCTTCTTGACTCATTATGCTATATTACGTGTTTGAACATGGGCATTATGGATTACTAGTGACTGGTCGTGTATATAAATTAGAAATATCTTCCTTGTGTCTCTTCCCCAACTCTCTGGGTCTCTTATCTGCTGTAATGATCCAGGGCACTGGACAGGTCAGCCTCAGAGCAGGGGTCAGGCTTTCCTAAGGCTCTCCAGGACTGGGATCACTGGGCTAACTTGGATGACCCCTGTGACAGGGTACTCCCTGGTGGACCCTTGGCCAGCAGAGACCTCAGTGCAGCATGCGCAAATGCACTCCTCTTTGCACTGGAGCTGAGGTAGGGATTAGAATGAGCACCAGAACAGCAGGGATGAGGTGTACCTCAGCTGGAGACCGCAGAGCTTATGGCTAGGTCTCTACGAAAGCTGTAGGCATGCCACACTGGCACACGTGTGACTGGCTTGAAGGCTCCAAAAACTGCAGAGGCAGCTGTAGAGAAAGGAGTTAAGGAGACTACAGTACTAAAAAAAAAAATGGTTGGAAATATGACAACTTGGCTTCTGTCTTTGTCAGCAGCCAAGACGTTTAAGCTGAGACCAGAGCTAAGGGGAGATGCAAACTGTGTTCTTCGAGCATGTGTTTGTGTGACCCATTGAGAAGTTTCTGGTGTGTTCCAGCGAGCTCTCTAGGTATGCACACTTTTGCTCCCTGCTTGCCTTCCTGCTAAGGTGGCCTTGTTACAGTTATCTACTCCCCTTAGGGTCATTCATCCTCCTGGGCCCCCTGCAATGCCAGGGCTTCTCAGAAGCAGGTGATCTCAGTGTACTTGGGTTTCTAATGTGGTGCTGGCTTTCTCTGAGCAAGGATTTTGAGAACCGGTGCCCTAAGACAGGAAATAAAAATGCCAGGCCTGGAAACAGCACAGCTTTCCTTCTGCCACATACCATTGGTCCCAGCAGATTCCCAGCTCACTGGGGACGGAGATAGGGAGGGAAACCATACCTGTGCTGCAGGAAGTAAGGTCAAATTGTTTAGAGCCGTCTCTCTCATTCCACAGCCTGTGACCCTGCTGCTTTCTCACTGTCTGGGTATCTTCAGATGACTGACTGCTTAGAGGAAAAATCCCAGCGTACAAATTTGACGAGTTTACCCCCTGTTTTAGAATGAACCACAGTTATGAAGTGGCAACAAAAATAATTTTATGGCTGGGGTCACCACAACATGAGGAACTGTATTAAAGGGCTGTAGCTTTAGGAAGGTTGAGAACCTCTGCTCCAGATTGACAGAGTGGCCCTTAGGCAAATTCAGTGGTGGCTTCTGTTGCCACCCAGGGAGTTCCAGCTTGGGATGAATGCTGAAAGCTCATTTGGCAGGGGTCATGGAACACCCTCTAAGTTGAGTGCTAAACAGACATTGTTTCATAGTAGTGTAGAAATAAATATTATACCAATGTGAAGTGGTTGAAAAGAAAGAGACCACCCTTCCAGGCTTCTAATTCCAGTGCTGAGTCATGTGTAGCAGGACCTAAGAAGGCCTCCCAGACAAAGCAGAAGTTACTGTAGTATAAAGAACTCCTATGCACTTGCTGTAGGGTCTTATCTGTCATGGGCAAAGAGCTAGAACAATGTGGATAGGCATTAAAGGAGGTGGCAGCTTATGATTGGCCAGCCATCTCTGTGCCCTGCATGGAGCATCCATTATGTCTAGGTCTCCTGCAGCTTCATAATGCAAGGAGAAGGTTTGGGAGCCAGGAGACCACATCTAGTTCTTGCTTTGTGGTTAGTAGTTAATGCCTATGGATTCATCTAATTTCCTACCCTTCTTACCACTTAAATCATTTTAGCAGCATGAGTGAACTTTCAGCAGATGCTGGCTTTGGCAGGGACTGTGAGCCGAAGTCATTATTCTGAATATAAATTTAGGAAATTACAGCGTGGGTCTGGTCTTTACTGTTCGTGAGTGGCAAGGCTGGCTGACTATGGGATGGTCTCATGCTTCTGTGTGGAAGCTTGGTACAGGTATTAATGATTTTTTTTTTCCTAAATTGGTTAGTGTTTTCTGTCACTCAGATCTTTTCCTTTCCTCTTTGGTGATTGGCTTTCTTATTTATTCCTGCATGCGTTTTTAGACTTAGCTTACATCATTTCATGATTATACTTTAGCCTTCTTCCCAAATGGGGAACTGTTTCTACTTTCATCCTTAATTCCTATCTTTTGATGATTTCTTTAATTGATTTTACATAGTGAAGAACAACCTAATCTTACAAGTTCCTTTTCTTACCTACAGTATGTGTCTTTGGTGGCCCCAAGTCCAGTGTTGGTGGCATGGCGGAGATTTGGTACCCCTGTTGTTATGGCCTTATCTGGTGTCATGAAATGAGGACAGGCTCATGAGGGTGACAGCTATCTCATTCATCCTTTTCCCTTCCATAGTCCCCATTCTCTCCAAAGGCCCATTTACTAAAGATACTAAAGATTTCTTTTCTAGCTTGTGGCTATCATAGGAGATAGTGGAAACTTTAAGAGGTGGGGCCCAGTGGAAGGAAGTGAGGTCACTGAGGGGTGTGCCTTTGAGTGGGATACTGGAACTGAAGCCCCTCCTCCCTCTTTCTCTTTCTAAAGAATATTTTATTTTACTGTGTGTGTGTGTGTGTGTGTGTGTGTGTGTGTACCCTGGGAGTCCAGGAGAGGTATTTGAGTGTGTGAAGCGGGGTTACAGTCAATTAATGATGAGCTGCCAGATGTAGGTGCTGGAAACCAAACTCAGGTCCTCTGAAAAAAACAGGAAGTGCTACTGTTGCTCCACCCCTCACCCTTTTCTTCTTGTTTCCCCCAGATAAGCAGCTTTGTTCTGTTATATGCTGTTATTTTCTGCCATGATTCTTTTTTTTTTTTTTTGAGTGAAAGCTCATGATTTTATTGTCTTCATAACAAGGTCAGCTTAGAACTGGATCACTTGGCCCTTTCTCTTCTTATCACCACCCAGTTAAAAATGCTTGCATCTCTTAATAGCCAGCATCCTCTTAGATCTGCAGTTGGGCTCCACACATTCCAGTCTCAGCACAATCTTCTTTGTAGTTTTCGCCTTTTTGTAGAAACTAGGCTTAGTCTGCCCACCATAGCCACTCTGTTTCCTGTCATAGCGCCGCTTTCCCTGGGCATACAAAGAATCTTTGCCCTTCTTGTACTGGGTCACTTTGTGGGGTTGGTGTTTGCCACATTTCTTGCAGAATGTACGGTGGCTCTTAGGAACGTTCACCATGTTGGCGGGTGCGATATTGGCACAGAAAGCTTCTGCCATGATTCTTTGTCTTGCCACAGGCTCATAGTGGTAGGACTTAGGGACCATGGATGGAACCCCCTGAAACTATGAGTAAAGTAAGCCATTTCTCCTTGTGAGTCAAATGTCTCAGGTGTTGTGGTACAGTAGAAGATACCTGACAAACACACTGCCTCTCTTGGCTTCTCTTCCTTCCTGGCCTTATTTTCCTTCATCTTTTTTAAAACCTGATACCCTGAGCTCCCTCCACACTTCTGACCATGAATTGGAGGCCCAGCTCTTTCTTCACATTCTGTAGCGGCCACTCAGGTTAAAGAAATAAGGATGGTACTTATTTTATTTTGTAACTTTCTTTTTGCATTTATTCTTTGTGTCTTTCACATCATGCATCCTGGTCCCACCCATCTTCTGTCCCCTCGCATTTGCCCTATGCCCCTGAACCTCCCCCAAATAAAACAAAATGTAATTTAAGATGAAAAAGGAAAGAAAAAGGGAAGAAAGGGACAATTTCATCATGGGAGCTGCAGTTTGACACAATGAGCCATGCAGTAAACCACTTTAAGGGACAATATTTAAAAGATGAGTGAGGCGTAGGTGGGAAGAAACTGTTCACCATTGTATATAGTCTAAGTACTTACTCCACGGACTTGGGACGGGATGAGAAAAAAGACTAACTCACTCAGGAGTCATAAGAAGGATCCAGGGTCTGGAAAGACAGAACTATTGATGAATTTGTTGACTTTTTATGTTCTTCACTTCTACGCTTTACTGAAGAAATGAATAGCGCATGTCCCTTTTTATCTTTCTTCCTTTTGCTGTGTCCCATGGAAATCCACCCAGTTCATGTGTTCTACATGTTGTTTAGCCTTTCACCCATCCTCTGAGTTAACATCAACCAACACCAACCAACTATTTTTATTTCTATTTCAATATGCACACACAACCTACTGAATCTGTTTAGTGTTACTTGTATGCACACGTGTTTGGGGCTGACTGCTCTAGATTGGATAGCCTATCAGGGGGCCAGTCTCTGGACCAGATTCTCTTCCTTTCTTGGCACTTGATTGCTTACAGTTCTTTTTTTTTTTGGTTCTATTTTCACCCTTTATTTGGAATACAGGGCAACATTCGCTTTAGACTTTTAACTGATAAACATGGTGATAAAAGCACTGAAAATAAGTACAGCCTGGATTTGGAGAGTAAGTGGCTTTCCAATTTGGGGGCAGGAGAGAAACAGGTGTAAGACCATCTCCAAAGGAGAAGAGAACACATACTCAGTGAGCCACCAAAGGGTTTGGCTTCCACTCACTAAGGGCACGCAGTGTAGTCCAGGCTAACCATCCATGATCTTTGTCACAGCAAATCAGAGTCTCCAATTGTTCAAAGTAATTGTAGTACAAGAGAGAAAGCTACTCTAGACTGATTTATCAGTCTGTCTGGATGACTGGAAATGTCCCCCGGATCCTGAGGTGGCAAGGTCTTCAGAGTGATTGTTGGAGCAGGGAGCCTTTCATGTGCTCCCAGTTGTGATACAGCGCATAGAGACTGGTGAGTGTAAGTCCTGCCAGCCACCGCGTGCCATTCCTCGAAAACCACCTGTACATTTATACAACATTCCCGTCATGGTTCTGGCTGCTATTGTGTTGAGGTCATCTTCTGCACCCCGTGTTTTCTCAATGATAACACCAAATGCACTATAGAGCAAGGCCAGGGAACCTAGAGTATTAGCCCAAAGTGCCCCTTGCCTAGTCACCATATTCAAAATCTGAACATTTCTTGGTTTGGACCAGGCCATGCTCTGGGTTTCCTTCAATCCTAGCCGAAGACCGTTCATGGCCCCAAATGCAGCCCCTGTCATGCAACATCCTCCAATGGTAAAGAAAGCTAGCTCAAATCAACTTGTTAGCACCAGTTGGCAAAATGAACTCATCAGTATCCTGAACAAGATAGCGTGGATCCACATTTAAATATGGAGACAGGGGGTTCATACTAGTTAGCGGAACGCCGGCCAAATCAGCGTGCGAGTAACCCGCTCCTCCCGCTCCGCGCTGAAGAAGCCGGCCAACCCGCCGATGGTTTTGTTGCCACTTCCCCCGCCACCCTCCATGAAGTCGCAACAAACTGCGGTGGGCTTCCCACCACCACCTCAGGCCGGGGTTGTGTGCTCGGCCATGGTCCCCACAGCAACAGCGGGAAGACCCGCGTTGCTACTGCCACCTTCACACGCTGACCTTCTTGCTTGCAGTTCTTTATCTAAGGCTGGAACCTTGTGTGATTTCCCCTGCCCTCACTGGCATGTCAACTGGTGTTGTCATTAAGTGGGATTTGTTTAGGCAGTCTTATTTTTGAGATTTCATGGTTGCAGCTCCCCTGCCATGTTTAGAAGACGCTATCTCACAGCAGGTGCTTGGTCCTTTGGTTCTTACAATCTTTCCTGTTCTGTCTTGTGTGATTTTCCCGAGTCTGAGGTGTAGGGCTGTACTGTAGATGTACATGTACTCAGCTGGGAGTGAGCACATGAGCACCCCACAGTTACTTATTCTCCGTGTTTTGTCCAGTTACACCTGTCTGTAGTGGTCTCCATCTGCTGCAAAAGAACAGTTTTGCTCTAAGCATCTATGTAGGGTTTTTTTTTGTTTGTTTTGGAGGTTTATTTCTGAATTCCAAGCTTTATTTCATTGTTCTGTCCTTATGCCAGAAGTACACCATTTTGATTTGTAGTAAGATTTGAAATTGGGACATCTGAGTCCTCTCTCTTCTCTAATAGGTAGTTTGAATAGGTAGTTTGATGCTGAAGTTCAAACATGCACAGCCCCACAATGGAAAGTTTAGCCCCATCATCCCTGTCTAACTTGTTCCCCTCTTGATGTGGGATTCCCCTCTGTATGCTTTGAATAATTGGTTAATAAAGGAGCTGCTTTGGGTCTATTGCAGCACATCATAGGGCAAGGCAAGAATTCCAAGCAGATAGAGGAGGAGAGAGTTAGGCAGAGTCAAAGAGATGCCATGTAGCGATAGAAGGACAAAGAAGCAAGTCTCCAGCCAGAACCTTACTGGTAAACCACGAGCCTCGTGGTAAAAGATAAAATAGAAATGAGTTAATTTAAGGTGTAAACACTAGTTAGAAATACACTTAAGTATTGGCCCAACAGTATTGTAATTAATACAGTTTCTATGTGATTATTTCGGGTCTGGGCAGCTGGGAACAAAAAAGTGGTCTCTGTCTGCACCCTAGCTTTCTACACATAATTAATTTTATTACTTTTTCTGTTTATCTATTGTATGTGCAGATGCAAACTAATGTGAGTGTTTGGCTTTTAATGTAAAAGGTAGCATGCAATAAACTATTTTTATCTCCCTAGAAAGTCTTCCCTCACCAGTTTAGCCCCATGTCCTCACGTCTTTTTCGTGTCAGTTAGGTAGTGCTTACGGCAGGAGCACACAGCGACTTATTGGTGCTTCTGTTGTTGGATTATTGGATTTTAAAATTTTTGGGTCTTTTTCACCTTTATTCTTTGATAGTGTCATGCATTTATGCCACATATCTTGATCATATCCATTCTCACCCTCATAACAACTCCTCCTAAGACCAGACCTATCACATCCTCCTCCCAGCTTTATGTCGCTGTTTTATAATGACTTAGATTTATTTATTTTTAAACCCACTGAATCCTCTTAGTGCTGCTGATGTACCTGGGATCATCCACTAGGCACACACAACCTTTGAGTGGCCACACTCCTAAAGAAAAGTGATTCTTGCCCAGCAGTGGCAGTGCTTGCCTTTAGTCTCAGCACTCGGGAGGCAGAGGCAGGAGAATCTCTGAGTGCTCTACAGAGCAAGTTGCAGGACAGGCTCCAAAACTATAGAGAAACCCTCCTGGACCTCCTACACCAAAACTCTGTCTTGAAAAACAAAACAAAACAAAACTAAACTAAACAGCAGCAACAACAACAAAAACAAAAACAAAAAAGAAGAAGGAAAGTGATGTTCCAGACCCCAGCAGCCATCAACTGCCATAAACTCTTCAGCGGGGCGGGACCTCAGGATCTTCTCCCTCCTTGCTAGAGCTTGGAACTAGCTTGATCTTGTGTAAGTGGCCACTGCTGCTGTGGGATCCTGTGTTATGGCCAGGGTAGTTTTTGTCTCTTAACAGTAACGGGACCAGTGAGATGGCTCAATGGGCGCAAGTGCTTTCTCTGTAATTCGGAGACTTGAGTTTGATCTTCAGATCCACGTGGTGGAAGGAGAGAACTGACTCCTGACAGTTGTCCTTTGATCTTCATGCCATGCATTTGTGTACACACACACACACACACACACACACACACACACACACCACTAATACAATACTAACTCCAAAGTAATACAAAGATATACGACTCTCTGTGGAATGTCAATACCATGAACGGGGTCAACATATGTGCCAGAAGGTGATGCCTGTTCCAGTCTGTGAGGTCCCTCCTTTTGTCATAGCTTTGGCAACAGTGCATTTTTAGCTTCTAGATTGCTCTCCACCTTTGATAAACTCGTTGTAGTTTTAATGTGCAGAATGTGGTTGAAGCTTTCTCAGATTATTTTTAGCGTTTTAATTATTTTTTTTCTGAAAACTGCTCTTAATTGATCTAGTTCTTTCTTTATTTTCTGGTTTCACTTTAATCCTCAGTCTTTGCATGTCTTCTTCACTTTGTGTTGTGTGGTCTGCTTATTGTACTGGCTCCTTATTTCATTTAGTTTTTTTTAGTTTTGCTAAATAATAAATTCATGGTCTGAAAATGTCAGAATTTTGCATGGCTCCTTTTTTTGCCACATCTGATCCCTTAGCAAGTTGTTCTAGGCTCTCTGTTGACGTGCATGAAACTGGATGCCACTTCTTGCTGAAGCTACTCCAGTGCAAGACGTCAGAGTCTGCCATCTTAACTACCCTGACAGCCTCTCCCTCCTGCCTCCAGCTGGGTCTCCTTCAGGCAGTCCTCACAACGGTTAGCAGTTC